GACACGCCGGGTGCTTTACGGGGACACGCTGGGTGCTGTATGGGGACACGCTGGGCACCCCATGGGGACACGCCGCGTGCTGTACGGGGACACGCTGGGTGCTGTATGGGGACACACTGGGTGCTGTACAGGGACACGCTGGGTGCTGTATGGGGACATACCGGGTGCTGTATGGGGACACCCTGGGCATGCCAATGGGACACACCGGGTGCTGTACGGGGACACGCTGGGTGCTGTATGGGGACACAGTGCGTGCTGTATGGGGACACGCTGGGCACCCCATGGGACGCGCCGGGTGCTCGGCCTTCACAAGGGCAGCGGTTCCAGGGGCAGCGCTGGCAGCCGGGCTCGGCCCCCGCCCCGCACCACGACGAGAGGCTGAGGTGGCCCCCGGCCTGGCCGGCACATGGCCACCCCGCACCCTTGCCGGGCGCTGGCACCCACAGCACGTGCCAGGGGACACCCGGCCCGTGCCGGGGGTAGCCAGGCTGCGGGGGCAGAGGCACAGCTGCCCTTGCACACGCGTGTGCACACGCACCTCCACGCACACCCCACGCGCACCGGGTCGCGCTGGCAGCACCGCCCTGCCCTGCCCCACGTCGCTGCCCCCCACGGGCAGCCCCCTTGCCCCACACGTACACGCAGCCCCATGCCGGCTTGGCCAGCACCCCCACCACAGGCACCGCAGTGTCACCGGGCCAGGCTGCGCCGGATGCCACCACCGCTCCCACGCCATCCCAACGGCCCCGCAGCCCCCACGGGGCCCTGGGCCTCCAGCCTCGCTGTCCCCCAGCTCCGGGACCCTCCGGACCCCCAACGTCCCCGAGCACCCTGCACCCCAGCGGGGGTGGACCTGTGAGGTGGGACCCCAGGGACCTGCCAGGAGGGGACAGCAGGGACCCCCTTGCCAGCTGGGACCCCCCCCCAAGCTGGACTGTGGGGACCCCATCACCCCGGGGGTCCCAGGGACCCCACCAGCAGCAGGGACCCCAGGGGCCACGGGGAGCCCCGCCAGGACCCTGTCACCAGCAGGGACCCCAGAGGTCCCAGGGACCCCATCACCAGCTGGGACCAGGGGGCCACAGGGACCCCCGCCAGGCTGGGACCCCCAGTCCCCATTGCTGGCTGGGGTGTGGGGAGGATGGAGGGTCACGGTGGCCGGGGACAGCCTGTGTCCCCCCACCCCAAACCCTGTGGGGGGCTGCAGGTCCCGGCTGCCCCCTGGGGAAAAGGGCGCTGGGGGTCACCCACACCGGCCGGAGGGACGCAGGTGCTGCAGGGCCGGGGGAACGGCGGGGGCCCCCAGTGCGGGGCCGCGGTGCTAAACCGGGGAGAGGACGGGTGATGGAAACAATCCTGGCCATAGCGGGGGGGCACAGGCCCGGCACGGCCACGGCCAGACCGCGGCCCACACTGGGCAGGGGGGCGCAGCCCCACCGCGGGTACCCACCGAGGGCGTGGGGCAGGAGTGGGACCCCCGGGCGCTGGGCACGGAGGGGGACGGCGCACCCCACACCGGTGGGCACGGGGCGGGCACGAAGCTCCAGCAAGGGCGGGAGGTAGGGAGGCAGGACCACCCACCAAGGGCGAGGGGACCCCCACCAAGGGGGACACGGGGAGGTGGGGGGTCCATGAGTGCCCCACTGGGGGCTGCACCGCAGACTGGTGTCCCCGCGGTGTCCCCGTGGTGTCCCCATGGCCCCGCTCCCCGTGGGACCCCCAGCAGCGGCAGAGCCAGGGCATCGAGGGGCTGCGTGGGTCCGTCCCGCCTGGACGGGGGGACGCTGCGTGGGCACCCCGCCACGGCCCCCTGGCTGCTGGGGCCACCGTGGCCCCCCGGGACAGCCACGGCCCTGGGGGCCCTCTGACGGCCACCGCTGTCACTGCACAGCCCTGGGGACAGCCCGGGGACGTGTCCTGGGCGCTGCAGGGACACCCCGGGGACATGGCCATGCAGGGACACCCTGGGGACACGGCCACGCAGGCACACGGCCATGCAGGGACACCCCGGAGACGTGTCCTGGGCGCTGCAGGGACACCCCGGGGACACGGCCACCCAGGGACACAGCCACACAGGGACATGTCCTGGGCACTGCAGGGGCACCCTGGGGACATGGCCACGCAGGGACACAGCCACGCAGGGACAGCCCAGGGACGTGTGCTGGGCTCTGCGGGGACACCTCGGGGACACGGCCACGCAGGGACACCCCAGGGACGTGTCCTGGGCGCCGCAGGGGACCCCGCGGGGCA